TAAGGGTTGTGTGATATTTGATGTCAGTGATACTAAGGGTCGACTTTGGAGTTATACTAAGGGTTGTATGATATCTGGTGTCAGTGATACCAAGGGTGGTCTGAGATCTGATGTCAGTGATGTTAAGGGTTGTCTGAGATCTGATATTAGTGATACTAAGGGTTGTGTGATATTTGATGTCAGTGATGCTAAAGGTTATATAAAACCTGATGTGAGTGTACTAAGGGTTGTATGATATTTGATGTCATGGATACTAAAAGTTGACTTTTTAGACCTGATTTCAGTGATACCAAGGGTTTGTGATATCTGATGTCAGTGATACCAAGGGTGGTCTGAGATTTGATGTCATGGATACTAAGAGTTGACTTTAGACCTGATTTCAGTGATACTAAGGGTGTATGATATCTAATGTCAATGATACCATTAAGGGTTGTCTGAGATCTGATGTCAGTGATGTTAAGGGTTGTATGGTTTCTGATGTCTGTGATATATACTAAGGGTTGTATGATACAATTATAATGTCAGTGATACTAAGGATTTTATGATATATGATGTCAGTGATGCTAAGGGTTGTATGACATCTGATTTCAGTGATACTAATGGTTGTCTGAGGTCTGATGTCAGTTATATTAAGAATTGTTTGATATTTGATGTCAGTGATTCTAAGAGTTGTATGATACAGACCCGTACACGTTTGCTGTTCCACCTTGGACGCAAACGGTACGGAAGTGCTACGCAAATGGTACGGAAATGGTACGCAAGTGCTACGCAAACGGTACAGAAACGGTACGCAAGTGCTACACAAACGGTACGGAAATGGTACGCAAGTGCTACGCAAACGGTACGGAAGTGCTACGCAAACGGTACGGAAGTGTTACGCAAATGGTACGGAAGTGCTACGGATGACGCTTACAAACGGTGATTCGTTTGTTGTGACAAGAACGGGTTTACATAAAAAGCGGAACCACATAAAATATCTAAAAAGAAACGAACATACCCACATAGGAAAAAACGTCAGTACACGGTAGGCTACGAGGATCGAGGCACATAAGAATGATTTAAATTTTGCCATTTTGTTTGCATAATGGATGAGTNATCACAATATTTCACAAAAAAATGATACGTATAACACATGTACAGGCAATTTGTTTTGATGCATTCAAGGTTATTTTTACCCTATTTTGTATCTAGTGGTCAGTTTTCAGCAGATCATTACCAAGATATCAATATATGTTAGATTACCTGTATAAAACCTAGCGTAGGACCACACCCAAAGGCTTAGTAATTATAGTGTACCATATACCCGAGCACAGTATAGCCAGGTAGCCAACTATAGCTTTGATTTATTGATTACAAATTATACCTAGAAACATATACCTGACCAGGTGTATTAATGAGCTATCACTCATCAGGGGGAAGGGAATGTTCTGTGCTAATTAGAAGTATTGTATTTCTTTCTCATTGTAAGGAGAACACATTCAGTTAGTACATTACCCTGGAAGCTGACAGCACTATATGTATCAAGCTGGAATCACTCTCTAGCTAGTTTGTCATAAGGCGATGAACCATGCGTTATATATACTGATGTCAATGGATTTAACAATAGGTCGTAGTAATACTGAGTAGATATATATACATGTATCACCATTCATCACCGATCGTATCTGTTTTATATAGTCCTGATTGATGGAATCTGACCAACCCAACAGACAGACTTCCTTCAGTATAGTATAGGTCTCCAGAGTATTTGTAGAGTAAGTTTGTGAGAAACCTATAGAGCTATAAACATTCAGTTAAAGGCTGCAGAAGAACAACATCGGATAGTTTTACATAATAACTCCATGTTTAGAAATAGTACCTCTATGATGCACTATAGAGATACAGATTTTTTTTGGGAAGTAGTTCTTCGTGTGGATGTGTATCAGGTCATATAACATATCTGTCAAGATTTGAATAAAATAAGAAGCTGAGAAACCTTTAATGTTCAACTGGGTCAACTGAAGTGATTTGCAGGAAACATTTCATTATTGGAAGCACTGGGAAAATATTTAACTTAAGTGATTTGCAGGGGTTAAAAGTGCTAAGTTTTTAACAACTGTGATCTCTATGCACTCCACCTGAGTGCCGTGTGTTGCATGTAAACACTATGACTGGTCTGTTCCTCGACATTCATTACTACAGCAGTCTGAACACAGTCATGGACAGCCTCTTGAGTATTGTGCCACTCCGGATCCCCAGGCCACAGGTCTATACCACCATAGAAATGGCTATTCTGGAACGAGAGAAGAAGGTGCTTAGGCGTTTACTGTTCTATCTGAGGAGTTCATATTTAATTAATCTTCATATTCCTTATGAATAGATTGATTGTTCTTCCTTCCTGCTGCCTGTAGTCAACTGTATAGTGTAAAACAGAAAAATGTGGTTTCAGTTTTATTTAATCCCTCAAAAATAAGAAGGCATATTCAGCATATTAAATGGGCAAAACAGACTTGAATATATATAACATGTATATTATAAATATATAGACTGCAGAATTTGTAAGTATGTATGTGTGGGTAAATTCAAATTTATGTGAAGGCCAGAGCTAAAATTTTCATGTTTGATCGAAATAATTGCGTTTTTACAAATTAAGAAGATATTTTAAGAGAAGTTAATTAAAAAGCTCATGAATTTTTAAACATTTGAATATTTTTCGAAATGTTTGAAATTGATTTTATAATTAACGCGCAGGAACATGTACATCAATATGGAGATGCTTACTTTGATTTCCCTCCTGTAATTCCAATATCACAGGATTCTGCTTTGACTTCCCTCCTGTACATGTATTTCCATTTTAAAGGATTTCATTTTTGCAGGTCCCTGAAATTGTCATGTGACCTGTGCAAATATTTTACTTTAAAAGAGGAAATTCTTGCATTTGGAAATGTTCAAATTGTGACTCGTTTGACTGATTTAGGTGTGGAAATCTGTGTGTTGGCAATGTTTCTGAAATCTAAACATTCTATATATCTCTAACTTAGGTATACATATATATATTTGCATGTGGATATTATTTTCAAGCCTATTTACCCAATACAAAAATGTGAGCATTTCAACAATAATTTCAACTTTTACTGTAGTTAAAATTAGATTCATGGCAAAGAAATAATATTATGAAGATGTGTTGTTGTGAAGAGTACTTAAGTATGTTATTTTGCCTACAGGAGGCAGTGTTGATTGCCGCAGCCAGAGAGAAGTACGGCGATATTCCGCTGGAGGTGGTCACCATCCACAAAACTAAACCCACGCTGGGACTGGCCATAGAAGGAGGGGCCAACACACGGCAGCCACTCCCTAAGGTTATCAATGTACAGGTAAGTCACAGTTTAGTCACTTCCAAAAGGTACTATCATACAATTAAAAAAAATAAGTAGGTCACTGTAAAGTGATCAATGTAAAGGTAGTAGGTCACCTTCTATCAGGTAATTACATACAGGTACAAATGTCACTCCCAAAGACAAGTGGAATCTTCTAATACTGTGAGAGTATGGCAAGAGAAATCTCAAACAGAGGGATTTATTGATTGTCTAACCTGAGGCTTATTTGCTTCAAAATTTTTTAAGGTGTAGGGTACCAGCAAGTTTAACTATATTATCACCATTGTCATTATTGTGAAATATTTGTTTATGTCCTTTTCAAACAAATTATTCCAGAAAAATCACATTATATGACGCATTTTACAGTACAATAACAATACAGGTGCTTAATGATACTGCCTTTACTCCAGTTATCTGACATCCAGGCGACACCTATATAAACACAATGAGCGTGGACCGCAGTCTGTGCCTCGAGTCATGTCGGTGGCACACAGTATGTGTGATACACGGGCGTGAACACCTGTTTGAAGAATAGATACTTAAATACAAAGGTTTTGAGTGGTTGGGGATTGGTTCGGTTTACTATTGTTTAACGTCCTATCAACAGCTATGGTCATTTAAGAGTCGTCGGGAATAAATCAGAGTGTGAGGTACATGGGGTCTTCTGCCTTCTGCCATATAATTGCCTCCTTCACCATGATGAAGATCATGCAATATTCTTTCTAGATATTAGTGAGAATACTCCTTGTCAAAATCGTTCTTAGGCTCAAGCTCAGGGGTATTCAAGTAATGTAAGTTCCAGTAGGTGGGGTTTCACTGTATCATATGCTATTCAAAATTTGAAAAAATGAAAAAAAGAAATTTTAAGAAAAAAAGAGAGAACAGAAAAATATAGTGGACAAACTCCAGAACTTTACATTGCAAATCCTAGACTTAACTAATGATGTCATTTAGGAATTATAAATGCAAATCATCACAATGAGTATCCACTTTATTGGCCATAAAAGCCTTCGAGAAAACCATACACAGAGAGATATAAAGATTGACAGGGGAATCTGCTCCAGGACAGCAACACGCCTTTTAGGTTTCTTCACTTTCTAGATATTAGTGAGAATACTCCTTGTCAAAAACAAATCCTGAACACAACGTTTCTTCATGATTACAATTGATGCAGCGGTACCCTTTGCCTAAATATTTCTATTAATGTCTTAATTACCACACAATACTGACAATGATATCGCATTTCAGAATGAATGTCTATTGTCCTTGTAAATAGAAGTCAAAATATGTTTTAAATCAATACTGCTTACAATGGATTGGGAAATATATATTTTTTTGTGAATTTATTTGTTGATCAAATATTAAACCAGCAAAAACTTGACTTTGTATTATAGTTCATTTAATCAGCTGATAGCCATTAGTCCGTACAAAGTAGTATTATGATGGTGTGAAGATCTTCACAAACTTAGCTATCTATCTGCAAAGCTTAAATTCAACTGAAGGTCACATGTGAATTTATCTGCTTTGCTTCACCTGAAGAAAAAATAATAATAAACAAGAATTTTCGACATGATCCCATGACCAAAGAGCGTCCTTAGGAATATCAGGTTTATGATATTTTCCCATTTCAGCCAGGAGGGTCAGCATATGAGTCTGGACGCTTGAAGCCTGGACAGATCATTCTTGAAGTGAACGGTCAGTCTTTGTCTGGTATGGCACACATCGGAGCGGCTCGGACAATTGCAGAGGCATTCAAAAACAAGCAGGCTGATCACATAGAGCTGCTGGTCACAGAGGCTAACACCAAGCTTCCTCACAAGATGGATTCCTAAAACAAACTCCATCACGACCCTGATCTCTGAAACCTTAACCTCTAACATTAGAACCAACTTAAAGAAATATATACATGCTAATCCAATATGCCTTATACAGTTTTTTTTAGATATTTGGTTTTCCTGGGAAGATGTAACTGTTGATTTTATTCATGTAACTGATCAGAGAATCACGTGATAGATGAAAAATGTGACCAGGAAAAATCATATATAAAAACTTAAATTGTATAATTTCATCAGAGAAAGAATTAAGAAATCTGTTGAAAGGTTCTGGAGAACCTGGCCGGTATTCATGAAATCGTTCTTAGGCTCAAGCATTGATTTTGAACTCAAACCTAATTTATTGTCCTGGTTATAGATTAGTAAAACAAAATCTTATTTTGTCAATGATTTGGGAAAAATTTGAAAGGGCTTAAAGCCAAATACTGTTCTCAACATTTACGTCTTACTTTTTGACCATTTCACTTGATTTAAATGAACTATTCGAGCCGTGAGAATCTTCCTCAAGCTTGAGAACAGTTTCATGAATATGGCCCCTGGCCCCAGGACCAACAAATAATATAGGCATAAATTTCACTCTTAGACGAAATTTTCAAAAATCATCAACATTAACTTTGGACTTAATCATATCTACATTTTGTGATGACAGGTTGTATGTAAAATCTAATCAAAGAAGTTTGAATATTTATACAAATCTAGGTAATAGTTTGGAGTAATGTGCAATGCAGATTGTCACAAAACTGTAGGATTACCACGGTTACAAGGAAACTGGAAATGACAATCAATGATGGCTTAAAAAGGTGATAGGAGTTTGGAAAAGTTGGTTAGTACCTTGTAAATATGTAGCTTTATACTTTATTACTGTAAACTGGGAAATTTTTGCCCATTCAGTCAAAATTTTGGCCCTTTAATTGTAAAATTCATTTTCGCCCAATATCAAATTTGCCCTCTGTGTATATTTAGTTGTTTACCAATGTTCCTTGTAATGATAAATTCACCCTTGTTACAGAGGGCAAAAAGTGTGAAAATTACACTGCAGCTAACATTTCCCAGTATGCAGTATGCTTGTACAGCTGAACACCTCCTTGTAATGATTCATGTAAAATACCAGGTAACTGCATTAAAAATCCATGAGTTACACTCTCGATATGCATATCTGCTCGGGATTTTCTCATTTTATGATCAAAGGCTTTTAAATGCTAAGCTATTCGATTGGTTCCATATAACAAAACCCGACCAATCACAAGTTAAATGATAGTCATAATATTTCACACATTTATTCGTTTACATGTACACCTCAGTATAATTTATGTCCTATTTGTTTTTTTAAATAACTTTTGTTGTTGTAGTTCCATTTTTTAACTACTATATGCCAGTGATTATCCCCCTTGAACCACTCAGCAGGGGTTCAGTAATGCTCAGTGATCTGTAGTACCTTGTTCATCTTCGAGAATGTGTAATCTAAATTGTCACAATGATGATGTTGTAGGGACATAACTGATTATGGAGCATTGTTAACTCATTCACCCCTGAAGACACATTTGAACTCTTCTAATTCAAAGGTTGGAATAGTTCATTATGAAATTTCAGGGGGGAATGAGTTAAGGAGGAATCAGAAAAGATGAATACAATGTGATCTAAAGATCATTTGTGTTTGAGATATATAGTTGCTAAACTAAAGCTTGAAATTTTGAAGTGTTTTCCTAAGAAGCCCCTAAAATAAACCTATATCCCCCCCCCCTCCCCCCCTAAAAAATAATAATGGTGATTTTGTAATATTAACTTTGTATTACTATTTTTAAAAACAGCAGGTCAATATTCACTTTATGACGTCATTTCAATTGTAACATCACAATGTTTCTACCAAATGCAGTACTATCCTCCATACAATTTTCCATCTAGTTTAATGATCAAGACATTGCTTAGCATCTTATATAACATTAATTAATTAAGACTGTTATATCAGTGAACATGTGGTTTTGTGAACCTACGAAAGTTATACTGACCTCAACTTTGTTTCCGTCAACATCACTTGCACAGGTTCATATAACCACACACTCACCTCAACGAGAGTCCATAATTGATCAGTGTTAAATGATCTGTTGATTCTGGCCCTATACAAAACCCTTATCTGTATGAACATTGGATAAGAAACATTCGTAATGTTTTTTGTTGTTAACATTGTTTGTTATATTTCTGGGTATGTGTATATACTTGATTGTATCCGATGTTTGTTATTATTATAAAATGTGTTGTGGATATTTCATAAACTTGTTACAGTTAACATTTACAACATCACTAAAAGTAAAGTTCATAAACACTTGTCAAAAACATAATTAGTATAGAAAATTTGATTTGATTTCCTGTTTTAACAGGTATATATTTTCATATCATATTGCAAGTATAATTTCATTAAAAACTTGCCTAAAACAACTGATGTATTTATGAATTTGCTATTAATATATGTTATATTGTAACATGTTTTTGTGTAATGCTGCACTGGCATTTCCTTCTTAGTTCTCTTTGAACCCCATAAGGATGCTTTGATACTCATTATTTATGTATATACAAGAGTTTATAATTTCCAATATTTATGGCATGTATTCCTTAATACATCAAAGCAGTGTTTTTGTTTGATTATGGTGCAATATTCATATAAATGTGGTATAGAAAATTTGATTTGATTTCCTGTTTTAACAGGTATATATTTTTAAAACTCCCGCATAGCAGCAACTACAAGTTTTACAGTTTGTATTTTTACAAAATTTCTAACACGTTTCTCAGCTTAATAATTCTATCTATATGATGTTTTCTGAAAAATGTTTCGCTTAACACTTAGTCACTAGACAACTCATATGTATTATATTCTTTGTAACAAATCTTAAGTTTTCATCCTGCTCTGCCTTCTTAATTATATGCCAATCGAAAGACAGGATGTATTGTTATCAGACGGGCAGGTGGGAGCACAGCTTCTCCACTCAATCAATCGTCAATGGATTAACTTCTAACATCATAGGAAGGTTAATTACCTGGTACCATAAAAGCTCGAACAAGAGTGATAACCACTATTATCTGACCATATTCACAGAGTTATGCCCCTTTATTTAGTTGCCTAACCAGTGACCACTTGATAACTGTAAGTAATTTACTCTCATGCTTTTTATTAATCATGGAAATGTAGATAAAACAATCAACATTGCATAAAAATTGCTTGTTATCTGTTCCTTTTAAAGATCAAAACCTAGTACATGTACAGGTAATCAGCAACTCTGTGTTTTGTTGTAAAAATAGTGTTCTCACTTTATTTGGGTATTCAGTCCCATAAAATTATAAACAATTTAAGCATTTGACCATCAATTGGTTTACTACATCCGTTTCCAAACTGATTATTGATTGCAATTTTTAACTGATTGACCATCACTAACTTCTTGTAATAACAAATACTTCACACTTCTTGTTACTTGCAACACATCTTGTTATCTCCAAATGATTTTAACTTGAACATCTTGTTACTAAAAATACCATGAACATCCTGTATTTAATTTACATAAATATTGGTAGTCATCTGACGAGTGTTTGTTGTATTTCTTTTTTTAATTTAAAGTCATGTGATATATATTTTTATTATGTCATATTCCACTAGTCAAATATACAGCAATGCAATCAAAATATGTAGGTTTTTTTATGAATTTAAAGTCATATGATATATATTTTTATTTTGTCAGATTTGAAAATGACATTCCACTAGTCAAACATACAGTAATGTAATCAAAGTATACTTCACAGATTTGCTCCCTTTGGTTTGCCGCATTGTTTATTCATTATATAGGTGATGAATTATTTTATTCATCAGACCACTTTTATCAAGATTAATCTTGATTGTCTTCAACTAGGTAGACAAAATAACGTTTTCAAGACTGTGTATATACTTGTATATGATTATAAAGGTTTGCCTCTTTGGTTTGGAACTGATTGATATTATATACAATGTTAATAATCTCCTTTATACATACAATAGGATTTGAACTTTGATCTAGTGTTTATTATTTTTTGTTACTAGTGTGACACCGACTCATCGATTGAACAATCAAGAAATCGGTCCAACTATTTTTTTTAAATAATTGTTTCTCCTACTCCGTCCACGAACAAGCTAGCTACGCCTGTAGCTTTCGTTACTGCCTCACACAGTAGATATATCCACTTAACATATACCGACAGTTTCTGTCTTCATGTTTCTCAGTATAGTATATTTATCACTTGTTGTATCATGAAATTCTAGTCCATTAACTTGTTTCACAATCTGTGAACAATTTTGTCAAATAAAATATAAACAGAATCTTTTGTTGTGTTGTTTGTTTGTTAAGAGATTTAATCTTGATTCCATTCCAAACTAATAATTACACACAAATGATGTTAGGCTGTTGGTGTTCTCATTCTTTATCTTTACAATAATTGTGATCCCTTGACAAGATGTGCCATCTTATAATTACTAGTGACAACATTTGATGTCCTTTCAACTTCACTATGAACATGTCGTCAGTGACAACATTGGAAGTCCCTTCAACTTCACTATAAACATGTCATCAGTTTATGTCCCTTCAACTTCACTATAAACATGTTGTCAGTTACACCATTGAAGTCCCATCAACTTCACTATAAACATGTCGTCAGTTACAACATTTGAAGTCCCTTCAACTTCACTATAAACATGTTGTCAGTGACAACATTTGAAGTCCCTTCAACTTCACTATACACATGTCGTCAGTTACATCATTGAAGTCCCTTAAACTTCACTATAAACATGTCGTCAGTTACAACATTCGAAGTCCCTTCAACTTCACTATAAACATGTCGTCAGAGACAACATTGGAAGTTCCTTCAAAAATTTGACAGGATGCGAGTGAGGACAACTGTGGTAAACAGGACATGACATTACCAGGAACAACATTTGAAGTCCACGAAACAGACAACAATGTGTTACCATTGACAACAATGGTCATCTCTCCGACAGGGCGATTTGTGTTGCCAGTGACAACATTTTCTGGGCATAACAGTCTTTCATGTACAACACAAGACAACATTTTTAGGATCGTGACTTTAATGTGGAGAAATCAACCTAATATATAAAAGTTAATTCCTACATGAATAACATTTACATTTACCAATACAATATTTAAATAAAATTATCATACACTACATTTACATTTATTTGTAAATCAATACATCATACAACTTACCCTCAGCAATGGAAAATTAAACCTACATTGTTGTTCATACAAACAATATTCTACTTTTCTATGACTGAAAAAATAAGAATCGCTTCCTCTTTCAATTCAAAACTTATCAAATGTTTTTCCCAAAACCAAACATGGTTGATGTGGTTAGCCCGAGTTTTCTGATTTTTTTTTTTTTTTATTTTTTACAAAACTTACAAGTCGGTAAACATGTCTACAGTAATACCTGTAATTACACATGTAAGGATCCTAGAAGTAGATGTCATTCTAACGGAAGATTTGTTTACGTGTGTGGACTGCAGTTTTTGATCTACATGTACATGTCAGGCTTTTGGATGCATCAAATGTTTCATCATACGGAAAATAAATATGCTTTTTATTAAGATATATATCTTATGGGTGCTCGATTTGAAAATGTTGTTTTCCTTCAGTTATGAAAGAATGCAAATCCTGTCATTCTCAGGTAAACTTCGGCCAGCTTTAATATATGTTTTATTTCCTGTACTAAAATGTTTGGTTCCATGATATCTGCAAAAACTATCCAAATAGTTACACAACTTAAGATTCATTTATTATAGTATGCATATCACAAAAAAAAAATTACTAAACTTATTTATAATTGCCCACCTTAAGTATTCCGTCTTTGCGTATTGCAGAGTTATCTTCTCTTTTGAGCAGGTATTGATTGTTACGTCATTAGTTTGTGTGAGAAAATTACGTTGTTATCTCTAAAATTGATGACGTTACTCTCACAAACAAATGACGTAACAATCAATACCTGCTCACAAGAGAAGATAACTCTGCAATATGCAAAGACGGAATACATGTATATGTGTCTTAATTGTTTTTTATTAGAATTTCATGAAATATGAACTATAATTACAGTTCAAGATATTAATACTGACGTTCCAACAAGGCTATATGACGAGGACACTCATGTTTGATAGGAAGATAGCAATACTTGTACTTCCTAAATTATACTCCGTTTATAACCTGGAGTAATAAGGTTATACAAGTACTAATATCTACCAAATCATTAAAGCAAGCACTAAACTGACACTGATAATATTCCCTTCGTTTGTCTATCACCCCCAACACTCAAAACAGAATCACATTTTCGACATATCCAGAATACAAACAATAAATCAATAACAACAATATACGTATACAGCACTGTTGATAGCGTGTAAGTGGTCGCAGGCTTTTGGATGCATCAAATGTTTCATCATACGGTCACAAAATTTACAGCACTGTTTTAAATGTTTCATAAAATGGTCATACTTTAGGGCAATGTATCAAATGATTTGACATGTGGTCACAAAATTTAGAACAATACCTCAAAAATTTCTTCATATCGACAAACAATTAAGAACAATATATCAAATGTTTCTTCATGAAGGCAATTTAGAACAATACATCAATGTGTCTTCATGTGGACAAACAGTTTAAAGCAATGCATCAAATGTTTTTCTTTGTGTATATATATGCATGATCACAAGATTTACAGCAATGTATCAACTGATCTAATGTTTCATCATGTATGTGGTCACAAGCTTCAGAGTTAGGTATTGAATGTTTCTCCATACACACATACTTGGTCACAAGATTTACAGCAATGCAGAGCAATGTATATAGTGTTTCATGATGTACATGGTCACAAAATTGGAAGCATGTTTCAAAATATATTATGTGAAATAAGATACTGATTTAAAAAGAAAAATATGAAAAAAATGACATTTTCTGATTGATCAAGTTAATGCGAAAATATCTTAAAGATAGAAATGTTTAACAATGACATACCCTGCAGGCAGAACTGTTTAACACCCAATGGCTACACAATCTGATGTCTGAATACAAGTACTGTTTTAGAGATAAAGTTTTCAAATTTTCCCATGAGTATTTGTTTGTTTGTTGTTAAACATACCACTGTTATACTACATTTAGAATCAACTATCATTTAATTATGAACAAATTATGATCACTTGAATATTGAACCTCATTCTTCATATCAAATGGAAAAATTCATCAATACATTATATATGATCTGTATGGATTAAAATCACATATTTCCCTAGGAATGACACACTTGAATGTGAAATTGAAAGAATATGTGCTGCAGATAACACACACGTATTCCTCGTCACAGAGGAAGAGTTGTGGCATATGTTGTATGCCATTGTATGTTCTCAACCTAGAGCCAGCAGATCTAGATCCAAGCGAACTAGATCTTATTATGTCCTGTACTTTTGACTTGACATCTGCTGGTATTACAACTGTGACACACCTCTCCATAACTTGATCCGCCTCCTCACAATCAAGGGGTGCCAGAAGAACTATGCAGCCTTGTGTGTGCATCCCCAAAAACTCCAACACAGCGATACACCTCTAGTTATCAATGACTTCATTTATCACACAACACATCCATACAAGTTTCCCACCATTGTCTGAATTGATTATGTGGTTGACTTTTCAAAGATTTCACACTAACCAGCCGCTCCCTGTCTCTAGGACCATTATGTCCGTACTTGAAACTTCCCAGCTTTTGTTATATACTTCACTCCCTTGAATGGTTTGTATTTCTGAGGAAAAAACAAAACATGAAGCAAAACATAAACAAACAAAAATAATGAACAAATAAGGCTCAGAATAGAGATAAGTTGTCATTGTTCAATTGAAAAAAAATTCATCATTACAATATTTTCACATTTTTGACATGCTGCATCATTGAGAAATTAACTCTTAAAATAGTGTTTACAATCTCATGAACCAGGGCCCTAATTGATAATTGAAATACAATGGGTGATCAAACTCTTTATTCAGAGGCTATTAAAGGCTACATTTAAGAAATACTGTATTCATCAAACTGGGAAAAACTGGGAAATGTAAACATGAAAGGCTCTGTGTAACAACAATGTATAATCCAGCTTAACTTCCACTATGTATCTTGATGTTGGTTTGACTTCCGTGATAAAACAACAATATAGCAGTAAGGAAAAATAAACAGACACCCTTTCCCTTAGAATGATGCTGTTTTCAATGAAACTTTGGAATGTGTTGATAATATATTCTTGCATTTCTAAATACTATTTTTCCCTTTATGCTATTGCTGAATTAATATAACATTTAAACCAGTTATTTTTCAACATTGGTAAGATTTTATTTTAAGTTGACAAGAAATAATTACACATTTATAATCATCTTTATACACTTAATACATGATAGAATTAATCCATTTCATAAATATATTTATGAACTGGACAGTGGTCACTATGTTACTACAAAAGAATTATTATTGTCCAGACTTACCTCTCCATACATGTCCAGTCTGTTGACTTTGATACCGGACAGAGCCAGCTGACTGATGGTGAAGTACATCTGTAACACATAAATCACTGGTGTATTCTATGGGGAATAGGTGGAAGATAACGTACAGCAACTATACACTATCATTGGAAATAGTACATCCTTAGATTACTAAATCAAGTAGTAGAGTCAACGTCATACAAGTTATAGGTGGTCAGATCAGTTGGGCGCTTTGCTGAGAGTGTGGATACCAAAGGGTATGCAGGGTGATGGGTACATGTATCGCATATGTGAATAAGAGGAGAGGGGTTCCAATCACAACACAGCGCAGGTGTCACCAGTTTGAGTGGAATACCCCTCTCCTTTGATAACTAAAGTACAAACATACTAAAGATTGACATATACATGTATACTGAATGTACTTGGCAGTTCAGTGTTGTCTGTAAATTCAACTAGATTCAAATATTAATCAATTGTTTAATATATAATTATTTTTGCCCAGTACATATATGTATATCTGTTCTCTACTTACATTGATGGTAGGGTTGGATTCCGGTACTGGAGCTCCTGTTTGTAAGGATACCTGCATAAATCAAACAGAAGTAAAACACAAATGTAATTGTGAAATTATTCAGAATTATCTATCTTTTGAACAAGAGGCCCAAGGGGGCATAACACTGACAGAAATTCCAAGGCCTAAATGATGGGCATAAAACAAGAACACTGTAAAAGATACCACTACCGTGTTACTGATTCCAAGGGACCATAAACAGATTCTGATTAATTACAATGAACCAAAATGCAAAATTATTTTTTAAGATGGAGTGATATCAAATTTTTATCAACTCAAAAACATTAACAATAGGTCAAGACCACACTCATTATTTTCAGCAAAATTGATACAGACAGTAGAATTCAAGTTCAACTTAATAATGTAAAATCTGATTGCTGACACAAGATGGGCAAAGACAGGTAGCAATAGATTACATGACCTGAGAGAATCATGTGAGTTAATAAGAAATACATATATACATATACACTGTATCAGTAATTTCTTAGTGTAGATTTAAGATTAAAATTGGACAACAAATGCTACATACTGTTCCTTTGATACTGGGTATCCTAGTGGTGTCTATCCGTCCTATATCCCAGGTCATCACCTTGGAGACAGGGTCAAAAGTGTATTTTCCTTGAGTTGGGGTCAGGGTTGCATTAAGAACTGTCTTCGGAAAGGGAACCTCCATAACTACATTCTCCACCTGAAAATAGGTTTTTAAACAGTTAGCGAGCACACACAGCAACATGTTATGTGTTATAAGTATTGTTTGTTACAGTATTGGACAGGAACCACAGAGATCTGATAAAGAAACTTGAAGTGTTAGCCACAGGCTATTTAACCCACACAACTCTATTGCTTCTGTCAATGACTATAAATAACTAGCAAAGTGAGCAGTAAGCATGAGAGCTTACAATTGATTTCAGCTTCTTTGTCCTCCTCACATGGGTAACATCTGTTACATATATATAGGTGAAAAATTGCAGCAATTCTAGTCAGGAAATCAATTTACAGATCTTAATAGTTAAAGTAAGCATAACAATTGAACCCCATACTAATAATAGCATCAGTAGTTATATAATGTGTCTTGTGAAATCTTAAAAGAATAGGTTAAAAACTGCAAGAGTTAAGTTTCTGAAGCACAGGGTACGTCCGTGACCTTGACCACCATACCCCAAATGAATAGGGTTTATGGTCCCTAAGTGGTAATGTGTCTGAAATGTTGAATTAATATACATATATATATATATGCAAGAATGAAGAGGCCTTTTGGTCTTTGAGAAGGTAATGCTTGTATACTTTTAAGAGTAGTGGAAGAAGTGTGTGGTTTATAGTACTTGAGTCCTTTAAGCATTGACCTTTCAACACCCAAAATTAACTCAGTTGCATGGCCCTTTAATGGGTAATATGCTGTGAAGTTATATGATAGTAAGTGAAAAACATCTAGAAAGTTATTGCCAGGAAACCAACATCTCTGCAGAAGGACAAGATGTTTTTTAATGTATGGTACACACAACCACCACCACGACATATAGAGTTTGATGTAAAAAGGGTAAAATTGTTTAGGATTACTTACCGTTTTCCCCATGGTAGTCTTTGGTCCCACTGTCACTTCAAACCTGCCTGAGGACCCCTCCCGGAACATAATGCTGTGTTTCAGGTAAATTGGTATAGCTACGAGACTGAAACAGTCAAAAAGGTAAAGTTTAATTGAAAGACCAAAACAATACATAATTTCACAACATAAATTAATTAATGCTTGCTTTTATTGTGGCGATAACAGTGAAATTGTCTTATTGGGATAATTAACATGTTAATAATCTAATTATAATATTAAATCCAGATTTGAGTAAACACCAGTTGAAGACTACAATAAAGTGTCTGACTCACTTATTAGAGGTTATGTGGTAAGATATAAGTCTGAAGTTTCCGTCTGGTGGTACAAACGACAGGATTCTCTCACTCTGTCAAACAAACAAATAGTCATTAAAAGTCACTAAAGATTCAAATCACTACATATACTGGTAATAATATACATATATTCAACACAATTTGACAAAACATGTGGAGTTTAATGTAGCTCTTCTAGTCCTTATATTTTCCTCAACATTTCAAAAGAAAAACTGGCTTGATGAAGTAATGCTTGTTACACTCAGTGTGATGATGACTTTTGGTTTTCTAGTATGTGACGACGAACAGAGCTAAACTTAAACACAGCCAAACTCATTGAAGCGGATAAAATACTTGTTGTATTTGTGTAACGTTCTCATTAAGTATACCAAAGTTTGATTACTTTTCAAAATGCAGTATTACTGTAATGAAGCTAAATGCAAAGTCTATTGACACAGACCTATGAAAACAGCAAACACTTATAATTTAAACTATGCGATGGGCCATTGTAGTTCAATAAATTTGCTCAGACTTACTCAATCTTAATTTGAAGTTTATATTCTGAGCTTTTATTCTAAACTTAAAATTTACTACTTCAGGAAATTAACATCAATCATTTTTAGAGCATGTAAACATTGGTTAACTAAACCCAAGGACTAAAAATAATGTATGGAAAAAAATTAACATCAAATGTTTTGTATAATAAATTTCCTCATAAGTTTTTAACCTTACCTCCCATCTTTTGAAGCGAACACATGGGTGGAAACTGACATCGTCAAGGAGACGAGAGTTGATGAAGGATAAGGTCAGGTCAGGCATTCCTGTGAGTTTGATCAGACAGTCAATCTGAAGGGTAAGATATTTGGAAATACAATTATAACAATTATAATAGGTCTAAGATATCCTCAGGTTAAACAAACAATTCTAAGACATATGATTGGTATTAAAGTTTTCATATTTGGAAACAGGAACAAAAAGATTCTTTGGGTTTCATGATGAAAAATATCAATATCCTTGAAAAAACTACCTATACAAAAAGATTGACAGATGCATCCCCATATATTCTTCAAAAGTATTCCTACCAGTACATCTTGCCTCTGCAGCATGTGTAAATTGGTGATGTTGGGTACCACTGTGACTATTGTTCCAGTCTTTTACACTATCTAATCTTTGTATTTCTCGTGGAACTGTTGTTCTAGACTTATATTTACATATCCCTGTATCTCTCCTGTGACTGTTGTTCTAGACTTATATTTACATATCCCTGTATCTCTCCTGTGACTGTTGTTCCAGACTTTTATACTTACATATCCCTGTATCTCTCCTGTGACTGTTGTTCCAGACTATGTACTTTCATATCCCTGTATCTCTCCTGTGACTGTTGTTCCAGACTTTTATACTTACATATCCCTGTATCTCTCCTGTGACTGTTGTTCCAGACTTTTATACTTACATATCCCTGTATCTCCCCTGTGACTGTTGTTCCAGACTTGTCTATGATGGCGTCTATCTCCTCTATCACATCGAAGTAGGCCTCGTTGTTGGTGTACTTCACCCCTGTACGCCGCCAGGGTATGTTTGATAACTGACCAGTAGGTAAGATGCCACTCACACTGAAACAAAGATTGTAGTGTTACTTCTTCAAACTTTGAGGAAACAAAGCACTAAATGATTTGAAGTCCTTTCCTTACCATGATGATACTACTGATTAAGTAGTTTTCCTGAGTACTTTCTTTAATTCAAGGTTATTTTTTCATGATTGTCCGATCATTTTATGATTAAAATCTTCTATCGTAATATAACATACAGACACTCTATATAATATTTATCTGTTTCCGGGATAAGTACATAACATCAACAATATAATGGAGGACATGGTCTGAGTAATATCCAAGGCTTGGGAAGGTTCTACATCCTCCACACTGACCAACTCTTTTTCTCCCATTTCTTTTCTTAATTGAAGAAAATTATTCTTAGAATGCCAACCTATCAGCTATCACCTGACATATTTGATTATGGAAATTCACTATTATTTAATTATTTTTATTGTGAGGTCACAAATATTAAAAATACCCAAAGGATATATATGTATCCTACAGACCTACACCCTTCAGCTTGTATAGAATATCTATAACTCTAAATTCTATTATTCTCCCCATGGAACGAGATATCCATATTTCCAGTCAGGGAAAGATTAATAGAATCCATCCCTGATGTGAGGTATAGATAAGGTTATTCAAACCCAAGGAATAAAATATTGAGCAGGAGACCTGAGGCTTTGCCGAGGGTCTTTTGCTCAATATTTTTTCCCCGAGGGTTTGAATTACCTTATCCTTACCTCACATCAGGGATGGATTCTATTTCTTGCTTATTACCTAAAACCCATAAAAACAGCTGCTCTTTTAATAAATTTGTAAAATGTCTGCATATTTCTCATTTGCATATGAAGCCTGGATGTCAATTTTTAGTGACGTCAATGACCCTGACTGACCCCAAAACATCATAAAATGATGCCACGAACAAAAGCGTGACCCCGAAAGGTCACTATAATTCCCCCTGCCAGAGTGCGCGTGTAAGCGATCTAGACCCATGGGTCTGATAGAATTTTCCAGCATCGCCGGAAATGCGGATATCTCAGTCTCGGTATGCAAGAAATCTTTGTCTTACCCTAGGGTTAAGACGGGGAATTTCCCTGTTATAACAATTGCATGACGTTATTCATAGCAGCATGGAGAATAATTCTGATTTGCCAGAAATTACGATAGAAATGATCACATTTCATGAAACCACAACTTGTATTTGATGTGGGAGTAGTATAATCATTCCCCACTTTAGGAGAAAAGCTGAGGACCAGACATTTAAGAATCTGACCCTGAGGGTTGAGATTTTCCGGTTTTACCCCCAAGGTGGGGAAAGATTGCAAACCAAGAGAAATGTGTATTCCTGACCTTGTGCTTTTGCCTGTTACAGTGTCTGTAATGGTCCTGAGGAAATTTGGTGGTTTAATCAGCTCCTTCAGAATATTGAGCTCCACTGCTAGCGGGAACCCATTGTCAAGCATCTCATCAAGTAACTGAAATTAATTTACATAGGTCAATAGTTAAAGGATACTGGTAACCTATCATCTGTTATTTCATACACAGACACAATCTCAGATAAAAAAGAAACATGACTGAGATAATGCCTTGCCCAAAAACATCACAGCTGGCTTTTCTTTCCTGCATAATGGAATGATAAAAGGCATTAACTTTTTGTGTGAACTTATGATTGTTCATCATTACATGACCTTTTTGATAATCATTTGACAGGAAAGTGCAAAGCCATAAGCATAGAAAAAGTCACATCATAGATGAAACCTGTCAACAGCTTGTGCAGCCCCAGGAGATTGTCTGTGTACAACTTAAAAAAACACTCATGTAAAAAATCAGACATAACTGTCTCGAAACAGAGTTGAACAGTGAATACACAACAGTCCTGGAGAGCTTCCAGTCAGTTATTACCAATACATGTACTGCATTTATAATTTGACAATATAAATGACATAAGCAAATGTTATTGTGACCACATTACTATTGTCCCCAAGACAATGAGAAAAAGACCACTTTCAGGGTTAATGTTTTAGACAGCTATTTTGGGAAAGGGCCCCTGAGTAGGATTTGGACAAATATTATCGGCATTTGGCAAAAATTGGAAAATATTATCAGTGTCCAAACATGTACAGGTTTGGGAAAATATCATAAGTTTGAAAAAAATAAAAACAGCAATGTTATAGGAAAAAAAAATCTCTATAATATAGCTGTTTCTTATAGTAAAATGTATAGCAATAAATGGACTTTGAATGCTCCTTCATGGACAATACTTTGAAGGTCTCACATATATAATAACTGGAAACTTGTTTAAACATGCATTTTAGTCCAGTTGGGAAAATAACGACTGAAACTGGGGATTGGGTCCCTGTATCGGCAAAAACCATGACTTAATCACTTTTTTTCTGAATACAAACCTCATAGACAATGACATAATGCTCCTTCAGTATGCTCTCTGTGCATTCATTGAAATAATCTTCAAATGTGTCAAAGATCCGATGTAGGAACTCTATTACAAACATTGGAGGCACTGTAAGAGAAATCCATGAGGAACTTAATCAAAAACATCAGTGGCAAAAAGATACAAACAGTTTGAACTCAGAAATTGAAAGTACTGACATACTTGTACACATCTCAAATTGTTTCATAACAGTCTGTGAAAACTGTATTACTTTGTGAATATCATATTCTTTACTGTGTAATTCAACACTTTATTTCTATTTTGTTTTCAAATTGCATCAAGTCACAGGGAGCAGTATCATATATAAATACTTTTTATATCAGAGAAATAGAAAATTTAACACAGGGACTGGTACACTGGTACATGTATATGTAGGCAGTATAATAAAAACATAATGCATGTTTTATAATTTGTAATTAGCTAATTAACATAAATAATCACACAATGTTAACCTTGTCTATATAACTGTTTGGTAAGTCTTACCTTACATGTAAGTCACTTTTTGGACACTTACTTATTTAGTTAGATTTCCATTTAATAAATTAATCTTTTATTACAATGTACTATACCAGTAACAGAATTGACAAGGTAATATAACACCACACATTGTAAGTGACTTTTGGCATATTGATAAATGTATATATGTAACAGAGGTGATTATTTTGTAATGCCTCCATTAGAGGTTGAGTCAAAGACCTTTGGCTTACAAGTTACAGAGATTATTATTATTTCAATGTCTCTGCTAGAGGTCAAACCAATGACCTCGGGTTTACAAGTCTGACACTCTACCAATTGAGCTAATTTAGAGCAGTTCTCCCCAGCAGTGTCTGTATGTATTATTTTACCAGGATGACATGTGAATACCTTCTGTAGTGACGACAGCCACATAATACAGCTGGTTCCGGTAGATGTTGATGAGGTAGTGATGTGGAGTGGAGATCACTGGAGGCACATCATCAGCAGAGGCAGCCTAGAGATATCAAAAGTTCTAAGTTATCTGAATCATATTATGAGTGACGGCTGTAAGACATTGTCAATGTATCTATCACACTGGGCTAAGATTTTCACTAAATAGAGCATTTCTTTGTATATTAAGTGATGCTAGAACATATATTTAGATATACAGTAATAAAACAACTTTTAAAAAGGCAAAATTAACCTATCATCCGTGACTAACTTATGATCCGCGCGGGGTCATACGAATCTCCTGCATTCTGTCAACATAACCCAGAATCACCCGCCTCCGCTCTCGTATTAGAATCTCCCTGCTTCCGTAGTGTTCCATTCCTCATGCTTTATCACCCCTACAGAATTTGGCAATAGGGGTCATAACCCCCCTTGGGAGATTCAGGGGTTAGCAGGTATGCTTTTTTTCACTTTCACTTCATATCTTTTAGAAGCCTTAAACATATACAATAAACTATCAAACTTAACATAAATATTATATTACCATCTTACTTGTTTTGTTTTATTTATTGTGATGAAAGAAAATCAGGCAGAACAAAATGATCCAGTTAAAAAACAGAGAATATCATACCAACCTTTCCTTGAACTTCAAAAAAATAGTCACATATCGATTTGTGAATAACACTCTTCCAGTGTTTCTCCATGAACACATCCCTGCAAAAAAAAATGAAATAAATAAAGTCTAAAAGACTATCAGATATGCTATTTCAAAACTAAAAATGTGTACAGACACATTAAATATTAAGCGGTTTTAAGGATAACAAGGCCTCAATAACCGATCACAATAAAAACAAATGGTTAAATATTTTACTTTATGAACATGGTCGCTTATAATTAAGATTATCCTCATTGCTAGAAATTTTGAAATCAACCAGACTGGAAAACATCAGCAAACTGTCATTTTTTCCATCATTCTTTTCTATTTAGTTGCTACATAAGTTATTTCTTGGATCAATAAGATTTGTTTTCATTCCAGGGGTGGTACTGAGTGAAAATCTTCATAATGGTGATAGAACCTTCAAGACAAATATTCACTCATTTTGTACAATAAAATATATCTGTACACATAATCTTTTTAACGCTGTCTAGTTTCTTAAAAACAACTGACATAGCATACAATTTTTTACGTATATTAAGGATTCTAATGTAATCCCAATCAGGAAAATACAGTATTGAATTACATTGTAATTAAGTGCAGCCTATAAATGAATATTCTGACGATGAATTTAGACCAGATAACAACAGTGTTATAATGTTATTCAATGAAGAAAACTATCAGTGGTATATTTTATGAAATTTACAGAACTTAATTGACAAAGGAATGCAATATTTTGGGCCCAATAATAACTTTATTTCGGATAAAGAAACAGCATTTATCAGGTGAAGGATCCCAGTAACACAAAAAACTTGCTTGTCCTTGGAGACTGCTTTTTCCAACATGGCTATAGCTTTGATAAATCATTCTGAACAAAAATAAACATACTGTGTTGGACTTTTATGAAAAATAATGAAGATGAATTAAATGAAATATAATCAGTAACAGTGTTCGGAGTGTAAATCCACTGTAATGGCCTGCACCTTATGGGACAGAAATTCTTTAAGGCATATATATACAAGGTTTGATAATTATTTCTTAAATTTCAATATCAACTATTGATTGGTGGGTTATAACAAACTTCATAATGAATGATCATGATCACAATCCCAGGAACCTATCGAAAATCAAATTCTAGATTGACTCCTCATTGATCAGGTTTGGTACAACAGCTCATATGGATAATAATCCTGCATTTGGGTAACAATCCTGTATTTGGGTAACGGCTACCCATTTGAGAAACAATTTTATTACTGAAATGGGGAATAAAGTGAAATAAAAAAATACAAAGTTCTTTTAAACATTTGGAGCAAAAAAGGGCATTATTTTTTCAACTAAATTCAATAAATAGCACAACAAAGTACATTTGTACCAAAAATGTGATCAATTCTGATGTCTAACTGTTTTGGAAAATGACAACCATATCACTGAATGTGTTCTCCGTTGACTTCAGTGTGTATAGTCAATGGGATCATCCAGTGTAAATTAATGTGACAGGTGAGTATGATTGTTTCTGTGTGCTATTTATAGCTACTCTACAAGACACTATAAGAAATTGATGTGATACAAATTGTCATTTTCACAAAAATTAAGACAATTGAATTAACATGTTTTTGTGCATAATTGCATCTCATTGTATCTTTTATTAGATTGTGTTGAAAGAATGACACCCTTTTGTGTTCATAATGTTTAAAAGTACTTTGTGTTTTCATTTCACTTTATTACCCATTTCAGTAATTAAAAAAATACTCAAATGGGTAACTGTTCCTCAAACGCAGGACTAGTAATATGAACTGTTATTCCCAACCACAGGAGCCTGAAGTTCTGTCAATAATTAATAATAACAGAAATACAAAAAAATACCTATAATATGCTTAAAAAATTCTGTCAATAATTAATAATAACAGAAGTTTATACAAAAAAATAAGTATAATATGCTTAGAAAATTATATAAGCATATTATAGGTATTTTTGTTTGTTTTTCTGTTATTAGAAATTATTGACAGAACTTCAGGCTCCTTTGCCCCAACCTGTTAATTACCAAATGATGTTTACAGATGTTCAAAAGATTAACGGAAAGAGTACACCAACCATAAAGACGCTTCTTGATTAATCAATGCTTAAAACTTTAAAAAGCAAGACACCAGTTAATCAACAGTTCAATTAACATTAAGACTATTGAGGAGAAAAGTAACAGACAGGGGAATATGACCAGATGACATTTGTGATCTGATCACGAGTTTCTATGTTAGACTTGTCCTAACCATTACCGAAACACTTTGACTCGAATCAGTTCTCGTCTGACGTTGGTCAGATACTCACCCGCTGTTGTTTATGATGAAAAGGCTATGAATCATGATGAAAGAAAGATGTTTACGGAGTTTATTCGAGAAATGTCATAAAAGCTGCCGGGGAGGCAGGGCCACGAAGAACCGGAAGTTTGTCTAAGTCTAAGTCGATTCGGCGCTTAAATAATCCTGGTTTCTAACCAGCAAATAGGAAACATGAATCCGGACTTTCAATTGGACCATTAACCTGCCCTTGGACCATGCAGCTGTATATCGATTTACAAATCACAACACAACTGTCAAAAATATATCTATTCATCGGAAATTCACTAGAAACTTTTTTTCTTGTATGTCAATAGATTTTTTGAAAAGATATTGTGGATAGTTATCATGACGTCACCGAGTTTTTGGCTTATATTAATATTACGTTATCTATTTTTATCATATTTGACGAGAGCGAAGCCCGAGTTTAACATTAAAAGGGAGAGACAAATAATCGTGTTTCCCTACCAAAAAGGCTTTAGGGGTTGTCAGACGATTCGCCCCGAAACCGAAACGCCACAAGCTCAGTGTTACGCCCAAATTTTTATTCATATCGCCCAAACCAGCTCGCCCTAAAAACCCATAACGCCCCAACTATTTTGTCCCCAAAAAAATACAACGCCCCGAAACATTCTTCCATAAACATTTTTTAAAGTTAAATATCTATATTTTATGTAGTATTCTTTAAGATAGAAATTTAAAAAAAAGATCTGTTGCAATTCGTTTGATGTTTGGGACATAATTTTTGTGCCGTATATCGATAACTTTCCTTATCTATAGTAATACTGTATCTATGTTAGGCATGTATTTGTATATTTTAGATTGTATATGCACTGTATAAGATAATTAGATTATCGTAACATATCTAAAGTATATATGTTAGCCATGTATTTGTAGATTTTAGATTATATATATACACTGTATAAGATAATTATATTATATATATACACGCGTGCCGTAGATCGATATCGTAACATATCTATAGTATCTATGTAAGCATGTATTTTTATATTTTAGATGATACATGTATACACACTGTATAAGATAATTATATTATATACAAGCGTGCCGTAGATCGTAACAAAAACAAGATCCATTTTGTTATGTGTGTTGCAAAAGTGAGTGTGTACGTACTAACTTTGTGTACTGGGGACGCAGTAAATACACCTACAATTCAAGTGGATCTTGACCTTAGAATTACAATTATCCAATATTTGTTTTAAAAATATACTATAACACGACTATCTGGCTTTTTTCACGGAAAGAATGTCTTGTGTCAAGCCTGGTGGAATATATTTTTCAGCACTTGAGATTTTCTTGTACCACACCCGACCAAATTCATTGTATTTCCCAATGAGACCACTTATGGAGTCACATCTTCGATTTCCTTTTCACAATTATAACCCGATATAAACTTTTTCAGTGAGACAAAACTTTCTGCGTCAAATCTAACTGAGTCGTTGGGAGCTAATCCGGTAGTCTTTTCTTATGCAAATGGAAAACGTTTAACATCGGGAGTTCCACAGGGGTCTGTTATAGGTCCCATAGTGTTTTTCATCTATATAAATGATCGACACGGTATGTACATGCATGATTCGGAGTCATATTTGTTCACGGATGATACAAAATGTTCAAAGTAAGTACTTAAGAACTTAACCAAATCCTGCGGCAATATAATATCCGACGAATGGAGCTACAGTGCGTTACGTAGTTGCCCATTTGCACATAGGAAGGATTACGCGTCATGATCTAGGTGAACAGTTCTTAAAATCAGAAGCAGGAATAATATACTGTTTACATTGAAGAGTAATAATTGATGATATCTTTTATTGAAGAAAGTTGTTCTTTCTTTTATTTTCACGCAAAGAGGTATGGCGGAAAACTGCCCGTATTTCCCTAAGTCGGCATTTATGAAAACGGAGAAAAAAAATAAGGAGTAAAATATTTCGTGTAGCCTAAATGCATACAAAAGATACAAAACCAATTGAATATGAATTTTTAAACTGCTGAGAAGTTAGGTATTGCTAATATGATACTGCAAATATAGCCATATACACTATATCTATGAAAGTGATGGGGTTTCCCGGACTTAAAAAAATACTTTCAACACTTTCCCATCCGAGGACCAACTTTTGAATAAACTTTTTGTGCCCGTGATGTAATATGCAAAAACAAATCGTATTACGGAAAAGTGGTCCTCTTTTGGGAAAGTCCTCAATTAATGAAAAACAGGGGTGATCAAGTTTCTCTAAACTGCGACCGGTGTTTCTCGGGTTAAATTAGTTTGTAATTGCTAATATCTATATGTTCTATGTAGCCGAATGTGTAACGCAGTTTACTTGTGACTAGAAAATAAACGGTGCAGGTTCGAATCCTCCTTCAGTTATTTTTTGTTTTAAATATTTAGGCATGTTATCATTTTCCTTAATAAGGCAATGGTGTTTGTTTTTTTAAATCGATGGAAGATTTTGTTTACATTTTAATAATATACCTATTGATTTGTCATTTTTGTTAGTAATAATTTCTTTAATATTTAGTGCGACATACTTCTATCGAAGCATGTCAACAAATCCCTGTACACGTGTACAGTACAGCTACGCTTTGTAGGTAAGACACTATTTTTGATGAAATTTGTGAATTGTTTTACCCTCCAACTGGCAATAGTAAGTATATCAAGTACTTAAAAACCAACAAATAATGCCGAATTACCAAATATGTGGTCTGTTTACAATAATCTATTCTTAGACACGGGATTCCGATATTGGTACCTGCATAAAAAATACCTGAGGACGCGTCATAACAGTGCACGGTTGGATGCGCGCACTAGCGTAACATAGCTTTGGGGAAATAGGCATAGCAACCCGCCATATCTCTTTCAAAGGAGAACATATCAAATTCCCTTGAATCGGTCTTATACATTCATAGTTTATTTTTTAACCCCACATGTGCGTCATATTTGCTGTCATATTTATAGTACAGGTGAATTCCGAGACATACCTGACATGACATATACACTTTCTACACTTAGAAGAGAACAAGTCCTGTCACACCATCTATGTTCCCAGATACTGTAAAAGTGGAATTTTTCGCGTGTGTAAATGTTCGCGTATAGACTCTTTCATTAGATCTCGGTGTGGAAATTTTAGCGTCGACAATGGTTCAGAAGTGTATATATTCTTTTTATCTATAATCTATTGATATATATTCGCGTGTGGACATTTTCGCGCTTATTTACTCAGTCAAAAATCACGATTATTTCTACACCACGTTAATTTCAACTTTCGCAGTACATTAATCGTAATATCGCTTTAAATAACTCACCAGGCCCGAAGGGCGAAGCCAGCTTATGCCATGTTGCTGCGTCCGAATAAACAGTTTCTTTTCAACGACAAACTGGCATAGGGTAATGATGTTTGACCAGTACCTGCTGGGATAAAGGAACCTCCCAAGTATGTTCAAATGAATGACTTTGATTCAGTCAATGTCACAGGGGTCAAATATGTAACCAAAGGACCCAGAGTGAATATATCTGGCCAGTAGAATGCTGGGATGATGGGCTACCAAGTTTGTTAAATAATTGATATTGTACAGACAGCCACGCAACAGAGCTGGGGTTAAATACGTTAAAAAACTTAAACAATATATTTTCAATAACTGAAAGTCCCATGGTGATGATATTCGGCCAGTACCATGCTGGGATAAAGTCATATCTAGTTTGGCGGGGGAAAGCCGGAGTACCCGGAGACAAACCACCGACTTACGGCAAGTACCTGGCGACTGCCCCACGTAGGTCTCGAACCCGCGACCCAGTGGTGGAGGGGTAGTGGTAGTAGAATGTCAGATGCCTTTACGACTTGGCCACCGCGGCCTCAAATAGATGGCAAATGGAGTTTTATCCGGAAAAGTGCGAAATCATGACCATCACCAGAAAAACTAACACCATCCGCCATACTTATTTCTTTCACGGTCGGCAGCTGAACTCAGTACCAGCCATCAAGTATCTTGGAATTACAATACCAAAGACTTAACATGGAGCAATCACATTATTCCGCTAACCAGCAAGGCCAACCAGACGCTTGGGTTCCTGAAGATCAAAAAAGGGAAAGGAAAGGGCCTATTTGGGACTGGTTCAACCAAAAATGAAATACTGTGCTACCATATGGGACCCAAAAGCAGTGAGAGACTCTCATCCAGACTCAAACAAGAAACATGTCCAAGTGGAAAAGATAGAAATGACACAGCGACGTGCAGCCCGGTGGGTCCCTAGCAGACATAATAACACCTCCAGTGTCACCGACATGCTGTCAGATCTAGGTTGGAGGGCACTGGAACACCGACGTGCTGAAGCCAGACTGAGACTAGTTTATAAACCCGGAACAACCTGGTAGCCATCAATCCGAAGGATCAGCTCACCTCATTTGGAAGCAGAGGCCGTGAACACCAGTACCGGCAGATCCAAACCACCAAAGGCTATACCAGATATTCTTTCTACCCTCGGACTGTAATCCAGTGGAACAGCTTGCCAAGAGATGTGTGCGGCGCCCAATCCCTGGAGATCTTCAAGACAGAAGTCTCGAAGATCAACCATAGTCGTCTCATCTAAACTCCAACTCTCTCTTCCTTCTTTCATCTTTTCTTCTCTCTTTCTTATGTTCCTTCCCACTTTCCTATGCTTTCGATCAAACTATCCTTTATGTTTTTCCCTTTCACGCACCTAGTGATGATCTTCGGATGAAGGATTATCAGTCAACCGGCAAAAGAAAAAAATAACATTTCAAACCAACTTTATCATTTTCGTTCATCTTAGAAAATTTGAAATAGCTGACATTCATGCTGATATCTCAAAATGTTTAGTGTAAGAACAGTATCTTGCTTCTCAACTGATAACGCCCGAGCAAAAACTCTTACTATGTAATATGAAGGGCAAACAAATATGCCCACTGAGAGTTGAGGTTACGTGTTCCTAATCATAAATATTTAAGTGAACTGGCAATAATTTCGTTCAATATAGGTTCGTAGCGGTTGGGGCGATAACGAATTTTGGGGCGATATGGTTGTCATACTTGATGATCGACCTAGTCCAGTTCCGCTACTTTCCATCCTCCTTTTTCTAAGTCTTCGCC